GTAAACTCCTGTATCCTAATGGTAGCTGTTGATCCTACAATATTTGACTTTACTCTGAAATCGATGGTCGTCTTGGCCGAAATCAGTGCCAGACGAAATGCAGAATATAACCCTTGACCCTTGCGTCATATCTGTATATATCCATGGGTGATGCTTGACCTAAGAATTTTCATCAAGAGTCGTCAGTGAATCTTTGGGCAGGGAAAACAAAGTATAAATTTATTTTACAACATATGTCGTACGTCAATAGACAGTAAATGTGTCTTGGCAGATGAGGTAATGGGACCCCCGTCGGTAATATGTAGTTATTCAGAATTGCATATGAAGGACATGATCTTGCATAATACATACGGAATTTCCATCAATCACGGTAGTCAGACTTGTAGACTCGTGCATTTTAATGACGGCCAGCCGGTGGGGATTATTAGCTTTACCCTCTAGGGCCTGAACCTTCATCCTCCAGAACTGCCATCCTAATCCCACTCTAAGTCAAGCCCTGTAAAACTTTGTTTCTTTTGTAAGATTCTTTCTTTAATCCTAACCCTTCTCAATCCTTCACCTGTTGGAGGACTGAGGAGTGTTAGGGTTAATGGGTAAACAGGGACTGTGCTAGGACACCACAAATTGGCTAGACACTCCCATGCTGGGTTCTCCGTTGACCACACCACCACGGGCAGGCGAAACGCTGACAGCACAGATAAGCCAGGTACTACTTGTATCCGAGTTAAGCTACTTTAAAATTAACGGGACCTTTTCTTCCCGGCTTCCAATAATCGTGCTTGCGCTCAAGGCTACCACCCCATTGCCCTGAACTCTACCCGGCTGCACGGGTTTGACATCTATGCTTCACTGCCAAGCCAATTATCACCGCGTCGCCCTCGGGGCCAGGGGTCAGTCAGTCTCCCTCGTTGGACGTGAACCACACACTGAAAAATTGCCTGGGTTAAATTTCAAGCCAAGGATGGCTGAGCAATGCCCCTACCCAAATATGGGGTGTGTTAACCCCATTTGGAGCAGAATTACTTTCAGTTTCATTTTCACCCACAAAATGAGTAGATATTAACCATTGTTTGGTGAAAACAAACCAGAAAGTAATTTTAACCACCCAAATTGGGTTGAACAAACCTAAACTATTGTGTAGTTGCAGTTTTCAACCTCAATCCCTTGGGTTGAACTTTAACCCATGCAATTTTTTCAGTGCACCTTGCAGTAGTCCTTGCCCACGAGTTAACAGAGCATCCCACCCTTCTTCGTTTTCTTATATCACCAGCAATATCTTTGTATGTACAGTACATCGGCCGAAACTTCATTTATTATAGTTATATAGATTTCTATTAAATACCTTTTCTTGTTCATCTCCCCATGTTGTCTCCAGGGTTGGACCGTGTGTCTAGAATGTCTCAGAAATCACATGATTTGATCGTTCTACTAACTGCCACGCATCAGCTGGTAAAACTCCCGTGACCTTTCTTAACTTGTCCCCACCTAACTATTGAGAGGGGTGTCAATCTTGCCAGTGGTATCGCACTGGCAATGACTGAAACGGGGGGGGGGTCCATGTCCATTCCTTACGTTTGTGCAAAAAACACTGCTTTACTATGATAATGCACGTCATACCTCCCCCCCCCCCGAAAAAAATACTCCTTCCCCCTTTGGAAAATTCATCAGGCCAATGTCTGGGATGCTTGCCAATGTGTCTGGAAGCTTGTGGTTGGCGCCAGCGGTGTAAACAGAGTGTGTTGACCTGGAGACCTGGATAAGCCCTTGTGATTGACTGGGCCGGGTCGGAGAGGCAGGCCACATGGAATTATTTACACTATTTAGGCCCAGCTGTTGCGCCATAAAGTATGGAATTCCATATCTGCCGTCGTGTGTCGCCCGTCGTGCGTCGCCCGTCGTGCGTTGTCTGTCACTCGTCACGCATCGCCCGTCGTCCTTTTTTTGTCTCGATTGCGCAGTGGTATTTTAAACTTTGACCCTTGATCGTTTCAGATGTCCATGTACTTTTTCGATCGACCCATCGTGCTTGACTCTCATTTTAGCAGTAGAACTAGAAGATGTATTCGTTTTTGCAGTTGCGCCGAACTCCAATCGAAATTAAAAAAAATCCTTTCATTTTTAAAGACTGCCATCGGTAAAGTGATTCCTTATTGATACATTGATTCCTTAATGGTTTTCATAACTGACGAACTGATTCAACATTATTTTGAGGGCGGGTATACCTATGATGAAATCTGCTGTATACTCCAAATTAGACATGACTTGAGTTGCAGGTAGGCACACTGAAGTCTTTTAACAGTAACGTTACTTGTTAGCGCCGTAAATAATGCTGATGTGCTGGAAACCTGTTCTCATTGGTCTATCCACCATGGCATACACACCCACAAAAACCAACACGCCACATTTTTTGAAACTTAAACCATTGCCCCCTAACAATACATTTAACAAACATTTTGTTATCCACAGCACTATCTAGTATTTCTGGATTTCAAGATGAAATTGAAAGGACAAAATGGAATATCTGTATCGGCTGGCAAATTTCTTTCTGGAATTTGATGAAAACAAGTCGGCACATTTTTACAGCATTATCGACTTTAATTATGGGACTAATATATGCTTTTCAGGTGGGATTTGCACTTGCCTGTTAGAAAAAGATCCTTAAAAGTGAATGGAATCATCACATTGTCATATGTTAAATCCCAGCTTTTGCAGGCTCTATGTAACCAATTTGATGGACGACGCACGGCGGGCGACGGAAAATGGCATGTTTGGAACTCGTAAATGGCAGAATTGGAACACAACAAAAAGCAAAAGGCGGCGGACGACGGGCAACGGCAGATATCGAATCCCATAGTCTTCCCGTGTTTCCGCCATGAGGGTCCGGCTTTGCTCCGCCCGTGCAGATAATTGGGCT